GATAGGATTAAGAATGAAGCTATCCGGGACAGAGTGGGAGTAGCCTCCGTGGAGGACAAGATGTGGGAGTTGTGGCTGAGATGGTTCGGACATGTTAGGAGAAGAAGCATTGATGCCCCTGTCAGGAGGTGTGAGAGCTTGGCCATGGAGAGTTTGAGAAGGGGTCGAAGTAGGCCTAAGAAGTACTGGGGAGAAGTGATTAGGCAGGACATGGCGCTGCTTCAGCTCACTGAGGACATGACCCTTGATAGGAGGGTGTGGAGGTCGAGGATTAAGGTAGAAGGTTAGTAGGTAGTTTATAGTGTTTACCGATAGGCTTAGTAGCGTGCATGTCCCTTCATATTCTTAGATTTTTATTACGATATGTGATTTTGTTCGCCTTAGGTATTGTATTCCCTTGCTCTTATTTGATACTACTTATCCTTTATCTCCTCTTTTTCTCTTCCATCTTTTTCCCTCCCTTGCTTCCCTCTTCCTCTTCTTGCCCTTCTTGAGCCGAGGGTCTATTGGAAGCAACCTCTCTACCTGCAGTAGGTAGGGGTAAGGTCTGCGTACAGACTATCCTCCCCAGACCCCACATGTTGGGATTAAACTGGGTTTGTTGTTGTTAACTTTCTGGTTGAGGATATCCACTACATTCCTGCTCAGGTGTTATTCTGAACTTGTTTTCCTCTTCTTTCGTTTATGAAGCTGAAATTGTTTGAAGACTAATTTTCTTCGTGGTCTTGCTATCTTAGAAGTATTTGTTGTCTTTTTCCTTTCTGCTGATAAACCTAGATATCTGTATAAACGTCTTTTATTTAATAAAGGTTATGTATAAATGTATTCTTTTGTCATAACACAATTAAGATGCTACTCTGGAAGTTCTTGTGACACTTCTTTCCGTTGCTTAGATGGTGAAGGTATCAGTGTGCTAAATGCTTAAGTCTAAGATGATGGTTGGTTTCCATCTCCTTTTCCATTTTGAATAGAATAACTATATCACTAACTGGCCAAGTATCCAGTTAGTGCTTTTATTTAAAACTTTTTGAAACATACACTGAAGGTGATACATTAGGCTCTTGGTGAAGTTATCAGCTAGAATTTCCTCGCTAATAATCTAGTACCTTATGGGTGATTGTAATTGTACCTGTTGTTATGTTTAATGATTGTGAAGTTCTCCAAGCACTAACTTACAAGAAATAAAACAAAAGGTTCTCCAGGCACTAAGCATTGATGGTTCTCATTTGTTTCCTTGTAAAGAAATTAGGTTTTATAGTGTATCTAGAGCTTTTGAAGGTAGATCTTATTGTTATTTCTTATCGTACAATGACTGTGAAATACATTGTCCTCTAAGTTATCAAAAAATAAATATGAAGTCCGATATAAAAGTACATTTTCTCTCTCAATCACGTAGACGTCAATGTTATTACCTGTTTGCGAATATAATCCATGGAGCAGTTGTGAGTTGCGTTCCGCTGAATACAGCTTTGCAGCAAACCTTGAGGAACAATTTCTTGCTAGATTGAGCAAATTTTGATAGAACAGACTGTTGCATGAAAAGAAAGGCTCTTGTAAGTGGAGCTCGGGAAGAACAGTTTTACTTCCAATCCTATCAAAGCGTGGCGTTTAGAGGAAAGCCTAAGAAAACCTTTCAAGGGGCTAATAATAGTAAACCCTAAAAGTACTTCAAATGTGAAGCCAAAAACTAAGAAGAAATTGAATCATTACAATGCTAAATCTAGCTGTGTTTTTTTTGAAAAAGATAAAACGACTCTTAGTAACTACTGTTTTCATCACAATAGCCAATATGTTAGCTATGGATTGGCTTTTCATGGATTGGCTTTGGTAGAGACGTGTTTATAATAATTGCAATGTGAAAATTTAGAGCAATTAATTGAAAGGTGTCACATCAAGTTTGATATACAGTAGTTTAAATTTTGTTCGAGGGAGAAAAATTTTGTAGTATAACAAAATAAGTCAAAAACTTTTTCGCTCCTGCCGAGAAGGAAAGAGTATCTATTAATTGGGATGGGGTAGTATAATTCTAAGCTGGTTTTTAGCTCTAGCCAAGTCAATCGAGAAGCTCAATATAAGTAAATTACATAACATAAAGAAGTCTTGAAACAACTTGGAAACAAATTATAAAAAGGGTTACCTAAAAATCCAGATAAAGACATCTATATTTTAATCTATGAACAGATTTTCAGATTCAGCCGTCCCCTCGAAGCATCCTAGGTTCCTTTCCAGCCAAATTACGAAAATAAAAGCAAGCATGTATTGTGATCCAAAACTTCCTCAATTCTTTACCCATGTTCCTTACTGACCATATTAACAACATACTTTCACATTCTTAGACACTACCCGGTTGATGCTGATAAAAGGATAATGATAAAGGATTACAGATTAACATGATTCAATCATTTCCTAGATTTTAGTTACATTCAAACTGATCATGATATGTATCCATGTGTATCCATATATTCCTTGTGCTTATCTTTTCAAGTTTAATCTTTTGTAAACTCTATATATTTATAGCTCCTATCAATGAAAGAAATAACTTCATCATAAACTCTCTGTTCTTCTATATGGTATCAGCCAGCAAATGCTCTAAAGAGCCTCTCGATTCTGGTCATTTTCTCCTCAAACCAATTATCAATATTTACCACACTAACCATGGGTTCCCCAACCAACACAACAGCAATTGTGACTGCTGCATCTGGTATCCCACAAATGCCCCAACTGATCTCAATCAATGCAGCTTCACAACTACCCTTGAAACTCACTGGGAGCCATAATTTTTCTACTTGGAAAGCACAAATATCTACCCTTCTCTTTGGGTATGATCTTATCGGCTATCTCGACGGCACTGAACCATGTCCTCCACAGTTTCTCAACTCAACAAATGGCTCAAATACTCAACAAACGCTCAACCCGGCTTACAAAATTTGGACAAGACAGGATAGTCTTATCCGAAATGCAATCATGGCCTCGGTAGATAGCACGATTGCACCAGTTATTGCTAATGCCCCAACAACTGCAACTGCTTGGCAAAGTCTACATACTGCATATGCAAACAAATCACAAGCCCGCATTTTTGGACTTCGTGAACAACTATCCACTCTTAAGCGAAGCTCCAGGTTTGTTGCTGAATTTATGGGAGAGATCAAGACCCTTGCAGATGAACTAGCTGCCTTAGGCTCCCCTCTTAGCAGTGAAGAATTAATAATTAAAGTTCTTAGTGGTTTGGGACCTGAGTAAAAAGAGATCTCTGCCGCCATCCGTGCCCGTGACGCACCCATAAGCTTTGAGGAACTCTACGACAAACTACTTGGACATGAAGTCTTCCTCAAACATGAAGATGCCAAGAAGGAACAACTAATCATCACTGCTCAACTCAATTTGAGGAACTCCACAAACTTTGGAAGCAGATCGCCGTAATAACTGTTGTGATTCTTGGATCAATATGAAGATTATTTGGGAGGAAAAACAACTCTATTTCACAAGAATAGAATTATAGAGAATTTACATCAAGAATTTCTCTCTACAAAAAACCTCACCAAACTCTCTTTTTGTTCTCACAATCTTTTCCTGGATTGTATTTCAATCTCTCTAGATTGATTTTTCTGTGTAAAACATAAGGCTCTATTTATAGCCTTAAAGAAGGTGGTTGGTGGTTGAATTCTTCATTCAACAATGGTGGCTTCTAGAATGGGTTGATTGCTTCAACAATGGTGGGCTTCTAGAATTGGTAGTTGGCAGCAGCTGAACTTATCAATTCTCCCCCTTCAGCTGCATTCCAACACAGCTACTATTTGAAAGTTATTCCAACTATGTCTCTGCACAGCTCTAACTTTTCTTGAGTGACCACCTTTGTTAACATGTCTGCTGGATTCTCCTTCGTATGGATCTTCACTAGTTTCAACAGTTGTTGATCTATCACCTCGCATATCCAGTGATAGCGAATGTCGATGTTCTTTGTCCGAGAATGATACATTGAGTTTTTGCTTAAATCAATTGCACTTTGACTATCACAATGTATCTTATACTCTGTTTGATTTATCCCTAGTTCTTGGAGAAATCGCTTTAGCCACAACATTTCTTTTCCAGCTTCCG